CGTCTGTTTTTTTTCTGCCGGGGGAGGAGGGGGGTGGCGGACGGGAGGGAGGGAGGGGTAGGGGAGGTGGGTGGGGGAGGTTCTGGGGGGCCTCACTTGGCCCCAGGGCTGTCATACATAGAGAGCCCAACAAAAAACACACTCGCTCCACCACGCACTTGAACACGCCCCCCCAATCCGCGGGACCAACCTCGTGATACGAACGTTCGCGCAATGCATGTCTCGAAGCCAACGTGGATTCATGCACGTGCACGTTCTTGTTTTACTCACGAATAACAATGGCTCGGGATGAACAGCCGGCCCCGGGAAAGGGATCAAGATCTCAGGGGGTCCGCGCTGGCAGAAAGCACGGCATCGGGGGTTCGGGTTCTCGGGCGTTCTTCTCGGCTCGCGGAGGGCTTTCCGCCTCGGGGGGTGCGCTCCGGCAGCTGCGCCGCACCGAAGGCGTTCCAGGGGTGCCCGGCTCGTCCCGAACGGCCGCCGGAGGCCCGATGTTCGGCCCGTTATCTGGCGCATCGACCAAATCGGGAGGGTGGCGCGGGTTGGAGACCCAGACATGCGACGTCCTGAACAATGAACCTGGCGTTAGGTCGGGTGTGCCGAAATTGGTGTGGGGGGCGCATGCGGGCGGTGGCACTGGGGCCTTCGGTGGAGCTCCCTGTGGGGCCGCGAAACGTGACGTGTGAGGCGTGTGTCGAAATTGGTGTGGGGGGCGCATGCAGGCGGTGGCACTGGGGCCTTCGGTGGAGCTCCCTATGGGGCCGCGGCACGTGTGAGGAGTGTGCCGAAATGAGTGTGGGGGACGCATGCGGGCGGTGGCACCCCCACAGGCGGATTTTGGAAGAAAAATTAGAGATAGTCAAAGAATATTCAAGCATAGTCAACAAAATTAAGAAATCGTCCCCAGACTACTTTCTGACTATCTTCGAATACTCCTCATGTAGAGGGACACGCCCGACTGAAACCTGGCGCGACCCAGACTGGGAGTATTCTTTCTTCAGGAGCAAAGCCTTGCGATGCAGAGCGCTGCTCGGCATTGTTTGGAACTGGCTTCGCATTGCTCGGCCATGGCTTTGCACTGCTTGGTATTGCTTGGCGTTGCTTGGCATTGCTTGTGGTTGCTTGGCATCGCTGTTGCTTAGAATCGTTACTTGGCATTGCTAGGGATTTCTTGGCGATCCTTGGCGCTGGTTTGGAATCGTTGCTGGCCTTGCTTGGCAGCTTAGGGTTACTTCGCGTTGCTTGGCATTGCTCTGCCTTGGCTTGGCATTTCTGAATGTTGCTTGAAATCGTTGCTTGGCATTGATTGGCGTTGCTTGGCATTGTCATTGCTCGGCATTGCCTGACATTGCTTAACGTTGTTTAGCATTGCTTAGCACTGCTTGATCTGGCACGCTCTGCTTGGCATTGCTGATTAGGAGGTTGCTTGGCATTGCTTGGCACTGCTTGGTAAGGAGTGCCGGGGACGAAGGACCCCGCACCCACCCATTTCCTGTACGAACAATCCAGACCCCGTCGGCAAAACCTGATTTCGGACACATGGAGACGGATTGGTTCGGCCGTTTTCGGCCTTCAGGGACCCTCCATGGGGCGCCTGGATAATCAAACAAACACTCGCGACGGAAAACCAGCCCTCGCAAAAGGGGCGGGACTTCTGGGCGCCATGTACTGAAGAAGAATAATCAAGACATCGGGGAAAACAGCGCTTCCCTCGAATGGGAACGACCTGCATGAGCGCCAAATTTCCGGAGCTCCTCGCATGTTCCTTGGATCGGAGATGCGCGCCCCTCCCTGGCGCGCAGAGGGCGCCAGGGGCGGTGCCATGGGAGCACAGCGCCGATCGAAGAAACCCGCGCGGATCTCAGAACAATTCTACTCATGCAGATTGCTCTCCTTCGTTTCTTCGGGCCACTCAATCATCGACTCCGCCGCCGGTGGCCCGTTCAAACGTTGAACGCCGCCGGTGCCCCCCCTCCTTTCCGTCCTCCATCCTCCCTGCTTCCTCCTCTCTGCTCCCTCCTCTCTGCTCCCCCCCCCGTTTCCCTCATCGAGCCTGCCCTTCCTGCCTACCCCTCCTCCCCCTTTCGCCCTGTCCTATCCTGGCTCCCTCTTCCACAATCACACAATATGGGAACGACTCCCCCTCTCTCCCCCCGGGAGCACGTCCTGGGGGCGGCGCGCTCCTCTCCGAGTATTGTCTTCTACTCACGGGATTTGGTGCGACTTGTGCTTTCTTGCGTGCGTTTCCGGTCCGAACGTCGTCGGCCTTTCCACCATGGCACTTCCGCTGCAACGTGGGTCTCATATACGGATCGGTTGCCCCAACGTGGGGCACTTTTCTGGACCGGGTCCCTCCTCATCGTTGTCGCCCCCCCCCTTTCCCCTCCTCCTCCTCATCCTCATCCTCCTCCTGCTGCTGATATTCGCCCTACACATCCTTTTTCCTCATCCTTTTCTGCTCATCCTCTGGCTCATCTGCGACCTCCTCCACGCATGTTACGCAACACTTGTTTCGGCTGCGCATAACGCGATGGACTTCTTGTTGAAGTTCCACGCTCGCGATATGGCTTGCTCGTCGCTGCGCGGCAGAGGCAATCCGCACGGGCGCTCGAGGTGTCGGGGGCGCGCGAAATCTCATTGTCTGGCAGCAAGAGGGGGCGCGCGAGGAGGAGAAGCGGCCGTGGAGGACAGGAGGGAAAGCTAGGGCACCCATGGCCAAGCATTTCAGGATGAGCGCGCCCGGGCGGCCAGCCAGAGCTGAAGTTATCTGGCACTGGGCGCGGAACGGCATCACGGGCACACCCAGGGACCGAAGACAGGGCTGCAGGCGCTGGAAGCGTGAAGAGCAATGTGAACCAACAGATCAGGAAGAGGGCCCACACGTTGCTGGGGACGTCAGGCTTTGCTGCAAAGGGCCGGCACCATCTGGATGCGGGACCGCGGTCGGGTTGACAGCACGAGAAGCCCACATGGGGCTGCGCCGAAGCGCGTGGGCTGCAGAAACACGCTGCCAAAACAGGCCACCAGGATGCTGACGACTGCCGAGACGGTGCAGCAGGGGCAAGAAGCGCTGGCCGGGAGCGCGCCGCGGCGGCGGCCCAGGAGGCGCTGTGCCGGCGCTGGAGGGGCGCAAGCGAGAGCAAGGGGAAGCGCCCTGCCCGGCCGGTGCACGCATCACAGCCGGGCGGAGCGGGCAGCAGCCCAGCCACAGGGTCAGCCAGGAATTTTGAGGAGCGGCAGGGCGGTGGCGGCCTGGAGGGGGGGCCATGCGGGGGCCACCAGGCGCGCAGCCCTGTAGGGGGGGGCCGCGCCGAGGGCAGAGCCGCCAGTGGGGGGGGGAGGGCGCTAGCGCGGAGAGCGCGAGCGCGAACGCGAGGGAGCGAGGGAGGGCCAGGGGGCGTCCCGTTGCAAGGAGCACCTGGTTGGTGTTAGCGCATTGGGACATGGGGGCGTCCACCTTGGAGGGCAGACGCCACGGCCAAGGCACTGGGAAGGATCAAACAGACGGGACAACAAGGAGCGTGCCGCCAGGGAGGGCAGCACGCGTGCCAGGAGCACCTGATCGCGTCGGCGGATACTGCAAACATCGGCGCAGTGGGGAGGGATGGGAATGAGGGGGAGGATGCCAGAGATGGGCGCACTAGCTTGTCCCTCTCCCTCTTTTGGCTCCTCCCCCCGCCCGCCCTCAGGGCGCCCAAGAGGGGGCGGCGAAAATCATGGTCGGCGGCACGTGCGCGGCCTAGGGGGGACGTCACGAACTAGGAAGAGGCGCCGTGAAATCTGGGGAGATATCATGGCACCCGCCATGATATCCACCCCCCCTAGTCATCACTGGGGGGCGCGCAAACATGGAGATCCATGAATTTGGCGCGCGGTCGCCAAATCCATGGATCGGGGGAGGTGCCCTCCCAAAAATGTGGCCGGAGCCGCCTCGTTCGGCGGCGGAAATCCGCGATTTCCCATGGAAACGGGACCCGTCGCTAATCCACGCCCCCTTGATCCATGTTTGCGATCGCCTGAATCACCCCCCTCTTCGCCGCCCCCGACGCCCCCCCTAGTCTAGAAGAGGAAAACACAACATGAGCATAAACTTGTGGCGCTCCGCGCGGACTTCTTGGATCCGCTCTGGACCCCCCCGTCCCTGGCTCGCGGAGCGCGCCAGGGGCGGCGCCGGAGGCGCCGCCAGGGGGACCCAACGCGGATCCAAGAAATCCGCGCGGAGCGCCAAAAGTTTATGTTTATGTGGTGTTTTCTTCTTCGATGGGCCGCCGCCGACGCCCCCGCCCTCCTGCACCTCCCCCTCCTCCCGTGCCCGGGCGACGGAGCGACGCGGGCGCAGCGAGCCCCATCGCGGCAGCGGGGCGCAGGCCGCGGGGGGGGGGCCGGCTCCTGGGCGCAAACTGCCTGGGGAGGGGGGCCGAGGCTGCTCTCGTGGAGGAGGCTCTACAGAGCAGGTGCTGGCGGGTGCCCGACCCAGACATGATCGCGTCGTGAAAAAGTCAGGACGGGATTTTTTTGCCGATCTTCGGCCTCGGGGAGCCCTCGCCGGGCCTCGGGACTGTCAAAAACCGACTCAGGATGAAAAACCGGCCCCGGGGAACGGGTCGGGACTTCCAGGGACCCCGTAATGCACGCCGGATTCACACGCGGAACAGCCGGAGGCCACGCGCTGTGTGATCGAGCTCGCTGGTACAGGTTGACGAGCGGCGTGCATCAAACCGTGCGCACGGGCCTGGATGCCCTGGGGAATTCCCGTGCGTGCGCAGGCCTCGCTGCAGCCATGACAGCCGCTTCGGCCCACTTGGTGCGCCCTGAGACTTCGGCCCCCTCCCGCCGAGGCCCCAATGCGTCAAGCAATGCGAGCAGCGAGCACCCGGAGGAGCGCGTTTTCCGCAATCTAGCACTCGCCTCGGAAGCTCCCAGCACGAGCCGATGCCCTCCCATGGCAAGGTGCACAGGTCCCTTAGTGTCCTCAACGGGAAGAGAGCACAGGCCCCTGCTCAGAGCATCATGTCGTCGCCATCGTCCTCGTCATCAACTTCGGCGAGCTCCCGCTTCTCCCGCTCACGCCTCTCCTCCGCGTCCTCGGTGTCCTTGCCACTCTCCTGGGGGGTACAAAACGGCATACAATACTTGCACATATTAGCAGTAACAGATGTCTACAGCTCACCCTTTCTCACCCTTCGCTACCGAAACATACACGACACGATTTGGTTATTCCTCCATGGATCCTCCGGGTACGCCATCGCTTTCACGGACTCGTTGCGCATCTGCAGGCAGAAGGCGATGCGCTTGTGGAGCGCCTTCTGAGGCTCGCAAGAAGTATACACCTCCTGCCGCTGCTTGGACTTCACGAACCCCCCTTCATAGTCGATGGTCGCATCGATGACCCCGTCCACGATAGCCTTGGCCACGATACCGGCGGCATCCTCAAGGGACCATATGCTAACCTACGCTTTGCCCCTACGCGTTATTTGACTCGTGCCGCTCCAGATAGGCGACCTCTGTCAAGACGGACGGAATGGCGAGAGGAAGCGGGACGGGGCGGGGGGGGCTGGGTGCATAGACGGTCGCCATGCCCAACACCTGAACACCACTCTTTAAAGCTGATGAGACTGGCTTAACATCCTGAGAACATGCATACTCCAGCCGCCTCCCTCCCGCGCGGTCTGGAACCCTTGCCGCCCTGGAGAAGCGACCTCCACCGCGTCTGGCAGGAGGGCAAGGGGAAAAAGGAGGAGGATTGTGGATTGGACGGGGTGCTCGGAGGATCGGCAGACCCAAACATTGAGAAGACCTGTTCAGTAATTAGCATGCCTAACATGTGAGGAAGGGCCTGATCGGACTTTACCCTATATCCTCACATCGTGGACCTGGCAGCCTTATGGAGAAGCGGGAAGGGAGGGGAGGGGGTGAAGGGATGAAAGGGGGCAGGGGATGACAAGGCGGGGAGAGGGGGAGGGTCTCGGGAGGGAAGCTTAGGGGACGAGGGGGGGGGAACGAGGGGGCCCTGGGGGTTGCCAGAAATGTCAGTGGCCCGACAGGTGTCCCCAGCGTTTCGCGATGTCGTGGAATCCCTGGGGCCTTCTGGGACTTGTGACCGATGCTCCAGATGCCGTGGGGGCCTTCCTGGAACTCATGCGGACACCTCGGCCCAGAGACAGCTCTGGCAACGCCCGGGCGACATGCTCCGGTCCTGATCCTTCCAGGCCCAGAGGCCTCGCCCCCGGGCCGTCCACACACGACAGCACAACCGAAGACCGGCCGAACCGACAGCGAAACCGAAACCGACCGAGGCCGACAGGTCGCAGGCGGCCGGGGCGGGTGCAGCGACGCGGCAGCGACAGTCCCGTCGAACGAACCGAACCAGCCGGGTGCAGCCGACTCGGCGGGCACCCCAGGAGGCAAGCGGCCTGCGGGTCCCGAGGGAGACGGACTCTGGGCCCTGGGGGGCCCCTCCTCGAGGACCAGCGCTTCGCACAGAGCAGTTTTCGTTGGCTGGAGCGTTTCCTCCTCCTCCTCCTCCTCCTCCTCCTCCTCCTCATCATCGTCATCCCTCGCCCAGAGCTGAGGAGAGGCCAAAAGGGGTGAAAATCCTGAGGGCTCGTTTCCCTCAGGGCCCGTTTGCTTCATGACGGACGCCCCTGCGACCCCAGCGTCCGCACGCACCTCGGGCCTCTGGAGAGGCCTCATCAGCTCAGAAGAGCTCGCCGTCCCCGATCCTCTCGAGGCCGCGGGATTCTCTGGGCGAGGGATGAGACAGGAGGGTAATTATCAACTGCCTCGACGTCTGGCGGATTGCCTCTCCAATCCCTTACTTACTCGTCTGTTTCGGCCGTTGAGGGGTCGGTATCGGGCTCCGGGGCCAACAACAACTGATCCGGGACAGAAGACGAGACCTGCGGGACTGCGGCTTGAGACATCAATCCGTTGATGTCTGTAGCAGGAGGGCATCAATCAGATCGATGGATCAGCAACAACTGCATGCACGTAAGCTTTTGGAGGCCGGCGCGAATCTGTTGGGTCGGCGCTGAACTTCCCTGGCGCCTCGGGCGCCGCCCCTGGCGTGCTTCGCGCGCCAGGGGGCCTGCCATGGGGGGGGAGGGTCCAGCGCCGACCCAAGAGATCCGCGCAGATCTTTGACAACTTAGGTTTATGTGTCGTTCCTGTTCCCCCGCCATGCACCTGCATCGACCTTGTTCACGCGAATCTCTGAGCTCAGGACCCCTGGGCCGGTTTGTCGTTCCGCGTTCCTTTTTGATGGCCTTGGGGCCCGAGAAGGGCCCCCAGGGGCTGCAAAACAGAAGGAAACGCATGATCTTCTTCACGACGCGAGGGGTGCGGGTGCACCGACCCTTGAGGGACAACGTTAGGGTTAGGTCGGGCATGTCCCCCTACAGGCGGATTTCTGGCGAAACATTTTGTAATGCCCAGAGTAGCAAACAAATGTTGAACAAATCGTCCCCATTCTATTTTTCCCTACCTAGGCTCTGCCTAGAAGGGTTCTTACTCTCTAGCTTAAAGGGGCCGGGCAGTGGAAAGCGCCCCGGGCGGTTCCCCCAGTCCCCGCCCCGCGGTTCCCCCAGTCCCCTGGGAGCTTTAACTTTAGCTTTAGCTTAGCTTTAGCTTTAGCTTTAGCTTAGCTTTAGCTTAGCTGTAGCTTAGCTTCAGCTTAGCTTCAGCTTAGCTTTAGCTTAGCTTTAGCTTAGCTTCAGCTTAGATTTAGCTTAGCTTTAGCTTAGCTTTAGCTTAGCTTTAGCTTAGCTGTAGCTTAGCTGTAGCTTAGCTGTAGCTTAGCTTTAGCTTAGCTTTAGCTTAGCTTCAGCTTAGCTTTAGCTTTAGCTTAGATTTAGCTTAGCTTTAGCTTAGCTTTAGCTTAGCTTTAGCTTAGCTTTAGCTTAGCTTTAGTTTAGCTTTAGCTTAGCTTTAGCTTTGCTTTAGCTTAGCTGTAGCTTAACTTCAGCTTAACTTTAGCTTAGCTTCAGCTTAGCTTTAGCTTAGCTTTAGCTTAGCTCTACTGTTACTAAGAATGCTGCTTTCCTAGGGGCTCCAACTCCTAGGTAGGGTCGCACTGGGATAATTTACTATTTGGGAATATCCCTCCTGTAGAGGGACACGCCCGACTTAACGTTAGGGAGGGACCGACTCAGGGGGGGGGGGGGGGAAACATCGACCTGGAACACATCGCCGACAAATCGGCGATAGGGCCCCGACAGCCAATCCGAACGCTTTATGCGGGCTGGGATATCGTGCCCCTACCGGCGATCAGTCGGCGATTGGGGGCCGATGCATCCCCCCTGTTGGAGGCCTGGAAATGGGCATCAACACCAACACAGGGGGTTGCCTCCACGGGGGGAAGATGATCCTAGATTTCGGTGTTGGTGGTAATATTTCGGCCACCTTGGAAGCCAGAATATCACCACCATCGCCGAGATCGGGATCTTCTTCCATCGGTGGAGGCACACCGCCGATATCGGTGTTGGTGTCAACCTCTAGGCCTGCGACCCTGAGCCTATCCCCGTCTGACGGTGCCCCTTGGTTTTCGGGATATACCACGGATCTCCACCGGCCGTTCGGGAAGACCCGGGCACACATGGAACGCTGTCAGCGAGGCGCAACTGCGTGAGAGCATCCCGAGGCTGGAGAACTGCCGAGATCATACAAAAACATTTGAAAACCTCGAACCTCGAAACTTCGTCCCCCCTCACCCACGATTCACAAAACACCTTGTAGCAAAATCCTTTCAGTGAAAACTCCCAAATGCGCCCCACATGCGCTCAGCACCGCACTCCGAGTAGACCTGGGCGGAATAGCGACTCGACGTCCGAACACAAGCGAAATCATCTGGCAAGACACACGTCGATTAGCGAAATGATTGGGGACTCGCCAATACACTCGGATGCAAACGTCGAGTGAACGGGTGGTGTCTTGGGCGGCGGTTCTATCAACCTCCGACCTGGCGCTGCTACACCTGAGCCTCTCCCCCGCTACGGTCGGGAACTTTCGCCGCGGGAGCCCTGGCGACAGGCTACGCCCTGCAAGCGGATAGCGTGTCGCTCCGCTCTGCGAGGCGGGAGGCTCGGAAAGGCCCGGGATCTTGAAGCGTGGGGGCTCGGAAGTGGATAGCGTGTGTCGCGCCGAAGCGTGGTGGCCCAGAACTGGCGGAGTGACACGAAGATCCCGACCGTACCCGCCAGTAAGTAAAAACATGAACTAGACAAGCGGATCAAGTTGATGTGGTTCAGGCCCCCCCCAGAGAATAGCAACACGCAGCAAAATCAGATCGGTTCTTGAAGCAGGAGAGCATTCCACGTAGATTGCGATCTGGGAATCCAAGAATACGCACTTCCAACGACCGACGGGTAACCGAGTGCCCCGGATGGTAAATCATTTCCCCCTTTCCCCCTCCCTATGTTTAATCCCGGTTCAATAGGATTTAAGTGTGGAGAGGGGCGCGGAGGCCGAACTTGATAATCCACTGGGGGAGTTGCGAATCGAAGTTGCTATCATATCATGTTGGCTAACAACAATATAAAACAAACGCTGGGCATGGCCATGGTGGTCACACCAGATCTATTTCCGCAATCACAAGCGTGTGGCAATTGAGTCGGCAATCAGTTTCCGCAACCAGCGTCCGCAATCACAAGGCTGTGGGATTCTCACCAGTTCACGAACGTGCGACGGGGCAATGGGATTCTCACTTTCTCAGTCGTTCCCAAATCAGGAACGTGTGGCAGGGCCATGGGGACCGATTGAACTTTGACTTCGCCTGCGTTTTTCGAGCAGGCAGAGCATTGGAGTTACTTGTGTAGCGCATCCCTCACACGGTTCGTGGCCCTTCCTCCTCCTCCTCCTCCTCCTCTTCCTCCTCCTCCTCCCCCTCCTCCTCCTCCTCCTCGACCCCCGCAACTGCCCAGGCCCGAGCTTCCCCGAGTCTCCGAGACTCCAAGCTTTCGAGCCTCTTCGAGGTGCCGAGCCTCTTCGCCCCAGGGGCAGCGGTATGGGGGGGATAAGCATAAGGGGACACATCGATCCCCAATCGCCTGTGATCGCAGAGAGTGGTTCGATAGCCCGAACCTGCCCAGGAGCGCGCGGATTCACGATCGGGCGCGCATCGCCGATGCATCGGCGATGTATCGCCGATTCGAGGTCGATGTTTCCCCCCCCAACGCTTATCTCCCCCACGTCGTTGCCCCGGAGTGCGTCGCGAGCCTCGGCCATGTCCCAGGCCGCCGAGCGCGCCCAGGCGGCGACCCAGCCTGTCGCTGCCCTGCAAGGAGTCGCGAACCAGAGATCGAACGAGATCCTCGAGCGCATGGCCAATCATAACGAGAAGATCCTCGACAAGCTGTCCTTCATCGCGGACAAGATCGCTATTGCCGAGATGCGCCAATGCCAATCGAGCGCGCAAGGCACTGACGCAGCAAGA